ACTGATATGTTTTTATAAATAAAAAAGAAAAGTGAATGATAAAGAATATGTATTAATTAATAAAGAAAAAATTAAAAAGAATGATATTTGATTAAATATTTAATTATATCATATAAATATGCAAAAGAATATAAGTTTACTAAATGTTTATATAAATTTTTAATATTATAAAATTTTGAGACCAATTTATCAATTTTATTATTTTGTTAATTTGTTACTAATAATTTTTTTTTAATGCTATGGCAGTGTGTAAAATTCATGTGCACAATGTGCATATGTGCACATTAAATTTTTATGTGCACATATTACACAGCATAAAATGTGCACAAATAATTACTAAAAATAGATAAATTATATATAAAAATGGATAAATTATTTATAAAAATGGAAATACTATGTAATACATGCATTAATTTTCTATTTTTAGTACAACTTGTGCACATAACTTTTGGTTCAAATTTTATACACTGTGCTATGGTAGAATAAGTATTTTTTAAATAAAATTTAATTAAAACTGATCTTAGAAATAGAATACATATTAATACTCTTAATATGTATTTACATATTTCTTTAAATAGTCTTAAAATTTTTGAAAAATTTAATTATCTTAAAGCTTATAATCATTAAACTTTAAAGATTACATTATTTGATAATATATAATTTATGTAAATATTATGTAAATAAAATTTGATAATTCTATTATATTGTTAATTGCTAATTGAATATTTTTCTTATAAAATTATTTTTAATGAATAATTTATATTTCTGAATTTTATTATAATTTTTATTGAGTTAAAAAATAATAATTTAATAAATACTATTTATTTAAATTTAAATTTTATTAATTTTAATTATAATTTTTTTTAAAAATTCTTTTCTAATAGATAAAATGTACCTATAAAATACCTTAAAAAAGCTTAAATTATCTAGAAGAACCTTACAAAGTTTTACTTTATTAAAGATAGAAAGATCTATTCTTAAAAAGAAAATAATATTATAATTATAAAAATAAGACTTATTTTAAGATCTGAAAAAAAAAATTCCATTTTTAAAAAAATTTAATTAAAAATTATACAATTCATTCCAAAAATTATTCTTTATAAGGATTACTTTAGAATGAAAAAAAAAATTACATTTTTAAAAAAAATATTAATTAGAAATAGAAAAGAACCCAAAAAAATTTTCTTTATAAGAATCACCTTGAGATTTGAAGAGTGAAAATTCCATTTTTAAAAAAAAATTGATTAAGAGCAGTAGAAAAAAACTGAAAAAAATTCTTTTTACAAATTATTTATAGATCTGAAGAGAAAAAATTAAAAAATAATAATATAAAATAAAAATAAAAATAAAAAAAAATTATCTATTATTTAGAATATAAAGAGAAAATTTTAATTAAAAATTATAAAATAGTAAACTCATTTTAAAAAATCATTCTTTATAAGAATTAGCTTAGAATTTAAAAAGAAAATTTCATTTTAAAAAAAAAATTTAATAATTATAAAAAAGAATAAACTTATTCTAAAAGAATCTTCTAAAAAATTTACTATTAAAGCTTATCAAATAAAAAGAATTTATTAAAAAATCTTCTAATATAATCTTAAAAAATAATATATTTCTATTTGTGAAAACAAAAGGTCTACTTCTAAAAAATAGAAAAATAGTAAAAAAGAATATCAAAAAGAATTTTAAAAAAACCTGAAAAGAAAAGATTTATCTTTATTTAAAGAACAAAGAATTCATTCATAAAAAAATAAAAAAATATTATTAAAAATATATACTCAAAAAAATCATCTGATATAATCCTAAAAGAAAAAATTCACTTTTATTCATAAGAACAAAAAATCTAATTCTAAAAAAAAAGTCAATTAAATAAACTTTTATAAAATCCTTAAAGAATCCTTTTAAAAAATTTATATCTTAAAGAAATAAAATTAAAAAAAGAAAAAAAAAAATTAAAAAAAAGAAAAGAAATTAAAAAAAAGCTTATATAAAAATTTATTTTAATCTTTTTATAAAATGTATATAAATTTTGCAATGCTGCATAAAAAAAATTTATGTATATTTTATTAATAATTTATAATAAATGTCGAATTAATATAATTAGTTTTGATATTATCAAAATTAATTAATATCAAAATATAATTATAATTATAATTTAAATTAAACTGTAATATAGTAAATTATATATTATAATATTAAGTGGTTTAGTAATGTATATAAAAAATAGTAAAATTTACTCAAATTTCTGAATTGGTTTTGCTTTTTTATTATTTTTTAATATTCTTTTAATCATGTTCATTTACTATTATGTAATTTTTTAAATGAAACATATCTTTTTTATTATTTAATATAATATTCAAAAAATTATAAATTAATATTAGCATAAGAATCACAAAATAAACTTAAATTAAGTTAGACAATTGATAATATAAGATTGAAAAAATAGCATAATTAGATAATACTAATTAATATAGTATATTTAAATTATATTAAATTGTTAAATTATATTATATAAAGAAGAAATAACTAAATAACACTTAGTATATAAAAAAAAATAGCTAATAAATTAAATTATAATAATATAATTAGATTACATTGCAATTATAGATTATAATTCTAATTATGAAATTATAGTTATATTATATAATTCAGATTATAATCAACTCTTATTATAACGAACTCTATGTTCTAAACCTCAACTTTGCTATAAGATTATAGTGAAGATTTTAAGAGATTTGATTGGCCAATTCACTATAACAAAAGTATTTTATTATATTTATTCAAAAAATTTGTTATATCAAGAGTTCGCTATATTAAGAGTTGACTGTATATCATTATATTTAGATTATATTGCTATATTTAAATTGTAATCTAATTAAGGAAATATGATATAATTAAAGATGGTTCCCATAATTATTTTCAAATTTCAGTTGAGTTACAACTTAATTGCGTCACAAATTGCAATTCAATTGTGCCATTTTTAAATTGCGGTAATCATTTTTAGATATAATTATATTACATTTTCTTAATCTATTTATTTTTTAAATATAAATTTTATTTATCATATTATATATTATTAAAGTTAATATTAAATTTAAAATTATTATTAAAATTAACACTTAATATTATAATAATATAAATCACAAATTATTCAATATTAAATTGATTGAAATATGTTGAAAATGTATAAAATTCTATTTATGTTATGTATTAGGTAAGGATTAGAGTTAGTGGTATTAGAACAGTCTAAGTTAAGAAAAGACATATTTATCTTAAATAAGAAAGAAATCAAGAAACAAAACAAAGACAGAAAGATAAAGAATATGAAATAAAATGTTTTCAAGCTAAACAAGATATTCTTTTCCATAAAAGCAACATTTATAACATTTATAAAATTAAATATTTAGTAAATTCGTAACGGTATAAAAATATAAAATTTCTTTTTCTAATTAAGTGATTTTTTCTTTGTTATCAATAACAAACTTGAGATCAATATATTTGTTAAATCAGCTAAATAATTATATATATTTAATTTTTTATTTCTTTTTTAAGAAATGATAACCTATTTGTTGCTTACACAGAGTATAGAATTTAGAAAGGTATTTATTAATAAATTGAGCCTTTTTTTTTTTTTTATATTTCGTCAAACAGGTTATCGTTAGAAGAAACGTTGGGGGCTTTGAAAAATTTCATTGGATAGGCATGCATTCGTATTCAACAGAATTTTTTTTTTTTGTCAATAAGTCGTTGTTGTATACACCGTTTAAGTTTAAACTTTAGAAGAAAATTTCGTTTTTACACATGATAACATAAATCTTTGATGAAAAGAATTTGTCTAATAAGAAGTGATATAATTTCCGATAATAATATATATATATTTTTTTCCATACCAAATGTTGAATAAGAAAATGTGGTAATTTACCACAAACGAAATCATACGATATTTGGTACACATACATCTTTGTTTCACGTTTCTTTATTTATCTAACCTAACCTAATATATTCATCTAACTTTGATATAAAATGAGAAATCTTATTCACATAATAGAAAATAAGGTTTTCTTGGTCTCTATCAATTTAATCAATACCAAAAAAGGTTCAATATCAATCTTCAAGTCACATTTCCGGAATTTGAAAGAAAGAAAAAAAAAAAATTAGAAACTGTTTCACAAATAAGAAATAATCATCCGACATTTTTTTTTTTTTTTTTTTATTCGTAACATAAAATGAATAGGTGTGACAACCAAAAAACGCGATATACAAATTATACAAATATAGTAACGATGGACGCAGAAAGAAGGAAACAATCCAAAACGATCCAAAACAAAACAAAAAAAAAAAAAAGAAAAAAAAAAAAAAAAACTCCCTCAGATATTTACAAAACGCGGTAAAAATGAAGTTTAGGGTTTCGTTAAATACAAGACAAAATAACACATTACATTATTCTAATGCAAAGTTCTTTGATATGTTTTTTTTTTTCGAGCCATGTTTCTGTTGCAACCGAATAAGAACTTAAAGATATGGCAAACTTTACAATGGTTGCACTTTACAGTGGTTTCGAAAATAATAAATGGACCTTTTTCCTCAATAATGGAATAAAAGAGAATCCAAGGTAGACTATATTTAAAAGCCCAAAAGAGGATTTCGAGCAACCGGTATTCAAAAGTAAATATAGAAAATGGAGGTCAAAAGGTTTTATTTATTAAAGAAATAGAGGTATAGGTTATTATCATCATAAAGAAACTTGATTGAAGAATACCACTACAGGTATTTGATTATGAAATCGCTCCTCTTGTCGATCATTTTCATATGATTATTTATTGATTTGTTTCGTCTCCCCATTACGAAATTATGAATTAAATTACAAAAGTTGAAATAACATATGAACATCTTGACCAATGATATAAATCAAGAGATTTTGATCCCCATGGGATGGGACGGCAAAGCGTGATAGTATTACCAAAGCAAGAACACGAGGGCAAATATACAGAAACTCAACGATGCATATTGAACAGCCGCCCGGCAAGTCGAATAAGTGGCATCCGTCTCATTTATATCACACGTTAACGAGTCACAACATTTCGGAAAAGGTACCAAGCCTTGTCTTTGTGCAAGTAGAAATATCATCTCAGCAATGTTCACAATGAATACAATGAATCTAACAATGAAAAAAGTACGTTTCCGAGACGTTTGAAAATGGTTTGAAAAATAATGAGGAGGAGTATAAAGGTTAGCGCCACTAGTCTTGGCGACCACGTAGCCACACATGAACGTATGAAACAATAGCAGGGGATATCAGAAAACAATGGAAAAACCACGCTGATGCATGGAAAAATCCAGAGCTTTCTATCGAATAATAGACCTATACATAGGTAATAATTTGTCGCAGCACATGAACGATACGCTAATACGCGCTTTTCAGGAAAGACGCGACAATTTTTAAAGTTGATCTCTGATTACGTACCCAACAATGCTTAAATGTGACCGATTATTGACACCATTTTGCCAAACTCAAACGTGCTTCACACTTTTTTTTTCACATAAGGAACAAAAAAAAAAATAAAATAAAGAATAAAAAAGGATAACATCATTACGCACGATTTATCCTTTTCACTTATTTTTATTTGACAGAAGGTTTGACAGACAACAATTTGTATGCATATTGAAGAACAATGAAATGACTTTCTTCTCCCCCCAAAGTTAATTTGTTTTTATGTACGGTGACATATTGATTATCCATTGAATAAATACTATCCAATCAATTGGTATCACATTACCAAAAGAATGATTTTTTTCCTGCATATCATTCTTTAAATGTTAACAAGCACTTTACTCAAAACTATTGTTTTTTAAAAAATGACCATTGATTGTCCGTAATATTCCTTTAATTAGGTGTGGTCATAGGAAAAAAGCAAGTTGGTTGCCTTCGAAACAAGGCAAACTAGTTAACCAATTACCTAATCCAGTGTAAATTTTTTATGTTCAAATCGAATGGAATTGGATTGCATAAAAAACAGGCATCCTTGTTTAGAAAGATAATGGGTACAATTCATCAATTAACAAACTTAATTCAAAAACCGGATTTTTTTAACAAGATCTTTTCAATGGTTCCCGTATAAAGAATTTTTTTATGAATTCCCTTTTATGATTTTTATTTTCCTCAAACTCGTGCCACAAAAAAGCATCGAAAAAAGTATATTCCGAATATCATTTCGGATTATTAATATATGATATCTCGTTAGTTCATTTATCATTACGAAATGATAATCTTTTGATAGTTTATTCTCAATGAAACCTTATGTTTAATCATGTATGCTTCACATAATGATTAAAACTAAATTTATTTTTTATTTAATTATTATTTTGGTAATAAAAAGGTTGAAATATCGTATGGAAACATAGATCCATTTTCATTTATTTATTATTATTCTCTCACGTTAAATATAATTATGAACCTTAAATTGTTAATAACCTTTCTATCATCACAACATGACTTTTGCTTTTTAACCGTTTTCAATCAAGAACGAAATCATGAATAAGAACTTATATTCTCGATAAAGCAAAATTTTGCTTCTAACGAGTTAACCCTACCTTGGCAAAACTCGACTTTGATGGTTCTGGTTGGTGTTGCTACTTTGATATTTTTGGCACTTCAATTAATCGTTTTACAGCTTTATTTTGTTGTCATTGACGTAAACATCATCAAAATCCTTGTTAACGATTTAAACGATTTACTTGGCATTCCTATGAAACGTTACTTTTTTTTTTTTCTGAAGGAAAAAAAATGAAAAGATTTTTTCTTGCAAGTCTTTTCCTTTTGCTGCAGTTATGTAATTGTGTTTTGAAATAAACAAAAATATTTTTTTTTTTTTTTTGAGAAAAATGTACGTTGGCGTTATTCATGTCACATCAAAATTTATTGTTTAAAAAATTCGGTTCTTGGCTGAATTGGTGGCGAGTAATTTACATGTGTGATTTCAGGGTTTCATTATTCCCATTCCTAATTTGAAGTTCTGATGGATTATGCGATGTGGCTAATTCATGCTTTATTTGGGTATCTATCAGACACTCTAAATATTCAATGGTGGCTGGTGATGTATCGATGCATTGAATCAGGTCAAAAAAGAAAAACAATTACTATTGATGGTTATGCTTATTTTTTTTTTTTATTTTAATTGTCTATTTTACCATAATCGCACCTCTCATATATTACGAATGATGCGTGATATAAAAAAAAAAGAGGGAGAAGAAGAAGAAGGAAAGAAGAAGTCAAAAAAAGGGGAAAAAGAAGGAAAGAATTGTTCAAGATTCCCGGCATGTGAATCACTTTCGAATGGTTTCTCGATTGATTGTTTTATATCACATATCACACATCTCTTTTAACAACAAGTCCGCTGACAACATAACTTACAAATTTAAAAGACTTGATTGGATGATCCAATCAATTCTTTGGAAGGGGGGTTTACGGGGGGTATCTTTATTTCCTACTACGCGTAAATTAAAATGCTACCTTGAGCTTGGAAAAAATTGCTGAATATAGGAAACTTGGGAGCTTTAACGATTATTACATCACGACACAACTTCTACTACCTACGCAATTTGTGTGGCAGGGTCCCCTATTATTCGAAGAAAGTCCGCTTTGACAACCTCAAGATTCGAAAATCATTCTTAAAAGTCTGCTTTGACAACCTCAAGGTTCGAAAATCATACTTAAAACATTAACGCTCCGTGAACACCCTCAAAAAGGTTCGAAAATCATTTTTTAAATAATAATAAAGCTCCGTGAATACTTCACAAATTTTTCGAAAATCATTCTTTAAGGCAATAAAGCTCCGTGAAATACTTCAAAGTTCCGAAGGTCATACTTAAACACAATAATGGCTCCGTTGTCAATTAAATGTCATTTTTTTGCTGACTCATCAAAAGTACCAACTCAATATGGATGGGGATTTCAAATTCAGCTTCTGAAAACAAAATTCTTAAGATCTTATGACATCTTTTCCTGAAAAAAAAAATCCGCGACAAAAATCCCTTTATTTAAAAAAAAAAAAAAAAAAAAAAAAAGGTACATCTTGGTAAATGATTTCCTCACGATCTTCCTCACGAACCGGAAAACCAATTATGTGAGGATCTTTTTACATGTGAGAAGTACGAATTTGACTTATTTTTAGATTATTTTTATCAATTGAATTTTTTGGTTCTAATGATGAATTCTTTAATTTCCCAACCATTTTAACCCTCGACAACTTTCGAAAGTTGCGTATTGCGTAACTTTAAAGATTTCGGTTAAAAAAAAAAATCATTTTCTTCTCTTTCTCTTTAGCTCTTATTCAAGTTAATGAATTCGGGACTACCAAATGAAACTGATATATTATTCTATTTTAAAAAACGATTTTAAAACAAAAAAAGAAAATTCTCATTCAATTTCCAAAATCGAGTTTCTAAAAAAAAAAAAAAACCCAATATTAAAATAGACATAATAAATCATAATTGGAAATTATAATGGGGCATATATCACAATTGTCACGTAATAGGTTAGAACATGCCAATCACCTTTGACAGCTCTTCATTTAGAAAAAAAAGCTAAAAAGGGAATTTATATCTCAATAAAAATGAAAAAAAAAAAAAAAAAAAAAAAGATCCGGGATTTACATACAGAATATTTCTCGTTTGAAAGATAAATTCGGAATGAAATTTGGGTTAGACGAATGAATTTTTAATTATTATACTGGAAATTGGTTAAGCCTTGGAATTATTCCGAATTAATTAAATAATCTTGGCGATAATGCTGTTTATGCATGAAATGTTCGGGGGCTGAAATTGTTAAGAATTCTCACGTTTCATAGTTGTTAACTGATAATCGCGGCTCAAAATTTTACCGAAGTAGGTTTATGTAACAAGAAAATTTGCGGGCCGACGTTAACCAATCTCCCAAATGGTGACATCGATAATAATGAAGGGTAACACGTGCCCTTTAAATTGTCACCAGAGTCATGTGACGAGAAACTAGCCAAATTTATTAAGATGTCGAAATATAAAATTCCCCACTTTGAAATCAGGATATCCTCATAGAAATATCGATTTCAAGTAATTGGAATTCTGTTGTTTAACCTAAAAAGCCACATAAGGTTGTGGAAATCGTAAAAAAAAATTCCCCAAATTGTTGACATTCTGATAAATCTGATAAACAAAAAATGGGCGTTGTTGTTTATTTCACTTAAACATTTTTTTTCGTATTCGAAAAAAAAAAAATTTTAAAAATCCCACCCCATTTTACTGATTTTTTTTTTATCGTATTGTTTCAAGTTGCTATCCATCTAAATTTTTTGGGATGTTTGACATTCAAAAGATTGATAAAGTAAACTGATAACCCGAAACTGGATTTGTTGTGAAACCTAAAAGATAATAAGGGAAAAAAATTCGCATACGCTTTCACATTTTTCAGTTTGAAATTACATGATTTGTGATAAATGATTTTTTTTATTTTGTTAAATCAAAAAAGACATACATCGTTTTTTTTTAATTACCATATCAAGTTGTATTAAATAATAATAATAAAAAATTTTTCAACTCTAAACTTAAACTGTATTTGCAAATGTTATCATCACTTTTTACCCCTACCCTTATGAGAACAAAAAAAAAAAAAAAGGGTAAGAACAAAAAAAAAATTTTTTAATTTATTGTTACAAAGTACAAAATGATCCGCAAGTTCATCTCAGTGTAGCGATCTTAGACTTACATAAGTCTAATTTTCCGAGGGTTTAACCTTCCCATTCCTCTACAATTTCTCTTTATCGGATTGTCCTCAAAAGACCCCAAGACAAATTTAGGCGTAAAACCTGACTTTGAAGTTGAGAAAGAATGAAATGAGAGTGATGGTTTAAATTAGTTATTATGAAATCGGATACCAAACAAAACCAATGATCGTAAACAGTTAATGGAATGACCGATGGGGAAATTATTTGTTACCTGAGAGATATAAAGCGCAGGATAATACGTAACATATATGAAATAGAAATTAGGATGATGAGGGGGCACATTTATTAGTTTTGTGGGCACCCCATCACATATGCGCTTGTCATTTGATCGTTCACCTGCCGACATCCCATCTTGGGATAGAGCATTTTGAAGGATTTTCAGAAATTTACTTCATTGGAAGAGATAACATCCAAGCTTTAATTGTTATTTTGTCATTTAATATAAATAAATATATCCAGTACAACGCTTAGAAGTTCAACTATCAAGTGTCCCTACCCTTATCTGACTCGGGAACTTCCTGATCGATCATGTGTATTATTTTAAGTAAACAATTTTAAATTCTCTTGTCGCAAAAAAATAAAAATATACATGATCACAATATTCACACATGCGGAAAATCCCAAGGAAAGCACAAAGAAGACTTTTACGACAATTGTTACTAAAAAATTCGTTCATATCGATAATGGAAATAATTGTCGAATGTAAAAATATTGTCCATAATGTGTTACAAGATTGCGGCTCTTTTTTTCGGTGACATTTCTAGCAATTTCTTGTCGCTCGAATTTCCTTAAGAGAAATAACGATACCACCTATTTTTTTTGCAACCGTCCGGATGACTATGGTAAGAGACTAAACCAAATTCGAAATCATTTGATTCTGAACCAAATTTAGGTCGGGAAATAGTCTATTGGTTAAATTTTCAATCAATCAATGGGAAATTTTTCTTCAGAAATAAATACTATTTGTACTTTTTGGTAAACAAATAAAACGAATGCGGCTACTGCGGTGCAAACTGCGGTGAGGTAGAACATGGGAATCTAATCCAAAAGCAGCAATTGTGATGAGAAATGTTGTGGCGCCTGCTGTTGGGTGACGGAGACAATTGTGATATCTATTTCACGGGGAGCAAGTTCGGGGTCTTGAACGATTAGCGATGGGTTTACTAAAAAGTGTTTCTTTTTTTTTTTTTTGACAGGTTGGATTAACCACAGAAATGTTAAAAATAATTTCCCGATCTACAATTAGATAATATTCTTAAATTTTTTTTTTTTTTTTTTTTTTTTCTTACAAGGAAAACAAAAAAGGGAGAGAAAATGCATGTGAATTAGTTTACCTTTTACCTTGTGTCAAAGCTCTTGACGAGTAGTCCCACCTTCCTTTTATTTTTTTGCAAAAAGTCGGGTATATAATGAGAGAGGTCAAGGGACATCGGACAGAGAATAATCAATTACCCAAAAGAAAAAAAAAGTCTAAATTTAGACAATCAAGCGTTTGCTCAAGACTTAAACCTTTCAATGAATGAGGTTTGCAATGATCGGACGTATGGAATTTCCAAACTTGGAAGTTCAAAGCTTTGAAAGGGAAAGATACTGTATATGGTAGCATGTTGTGCCTGTGTGATAGTGAGTCATGTTTTGCGCTTAAGGAATCCTTTTTCTGCGCCAACGCATGCGGTACGTGCACCCTTTTTCGCCACGTTATGTTCCCTTTCTTTGTTTAGTGCTTGGTTAAAAATAACTCGCTAATGTTTGTGTTTTTCAAGCAATTCCTTTTTGATGAATGGAATGATGTATGTATGGGACAATGCGGGACGCACATCATCTTTTTTTTTTTTTTTTTTTTATGTCGTCGGTAAAGGAAAAAACAAAAAAAACTAATAAAACTCCCTAAATCCTTTCGTTCGTATAAGATGATTTGTTTCATGGAGAGTTGGGTTTCCCCATCTAGAAACTGGCAGAACGAAAAGGGTAAAAATCTTCGATTTTTTAGTCATCAACTCGTAGGGCGTATGTATACCATGAACAAATAGATTGTTTCCTTTGGAAAAAAGTTGGATGATCCCTTCCAAGAATCACCCTAAATAACAATAACCTTTTCAAAGGGTTCCTACCACAGTCTTTAGTCATATTCCGCTTTCGTACGGTCAATCACCGTGACATAATGGTTTAAAACGTTTTGACCTTTTGCAAATCCATGACAGAGGAAAAAAAAAAAAAAAAGCGGAAGCAAAAGGTGAAAGGAATAATTTTAAGAAACCAGGGGAGCATTTCACCATACGGTTAATGGTTTACCACTTCCAGTTGGCCAATCATTGCCGAATTCATGGTGAAATGTAAAGGTGGCACAGAAGGCGACCAAAAAAATTAGTTACGATCTGATTCGTTGAACTTTGATAATCCCATTTTGGTGTTGTCCGCGATCGAGGTTGAGAAATCCGCCACATTTCACAATGTGATCTGATGTGATGAAAACCTGTGTCACTAAAAAAAGCATCACATATTCAAACAATTTACATACCCCTTTAAAAAAAAAAAAAAAAAAAAAAAAAAAAAAAAGGAAAATAATTTTTCGGAAATGTTGGATGGAAAATGATGTGATGATCAAAAAAAAGTATTTTATGTATTTTATGATTTTATATTACCAATATATTCGCATTATTATTTATGTTATATAGTCTAAATTTTTCTTTTACAGTATTATTTATATGGTGTATAAATATATTATTGTTTATAAAGTAATTCTACTATTTGAAAAATTTATATATAATGAGCCATGGTCTCCCTATTCGTATTTTACAATTTTTTTTTTCACTTCACTTTTTGTTGCAAAAGAAAGTATAACGTTTTAACGAAATAAAAAAAAAATAATATTTTTTTTTTATTTTTTTTTTTTTACCAAAGAAAAACTTTGACAAAATTTTCTCTTACCGCTTTAATGCTTGCTTGTTCTAATATAACTAACGAACAACTTTTCGAAACCATCCTCACCTTAATAAAAAAACTTTTCAATTTTTTAACAAGACGACAAGAGAGACGAGAAAGTGATCTCTTCAAAAATCAATCAAACAACAACAAACAATTTAAAATATTTCAAGTTAAAATCCTGGAACGTAAAAGTATAATAATGCCAGCCATCACCTGCAATTCAAATAACCTTCACATTTCTGGCTCGCCAGTTGCTTCACCCACCACCCCAACCGCCACCACCACTTCAGAATCAACAGTCGCGGCAGCATCAGCAGGGATGGCGGCAATTTCAATGTCAAATTGTGTGAGAACGTTGATCGTGGACGACAACGTTATAACGGCAAAAGTACTCTCAAAGATACTCTCCAAAGAATTCGGTCATAACACCTCCTGCGCGATAAGTGGCAAGGAAGCTCTCATAAAATTATCCAAGGAAACATATGACATCATATTCATGGACATCGACATGCCAGAATTATCAGGAATCGAAACAACGATAGAGATACACAAGAAGGGTTCTAACGTATTGGAACAAAATCGTAACATACCAATCATAGCTTATACCACAAATCCTTGCGAGGAACGATTTTTTGAAGCTGGAATGAACGGATGGGTTGGAAAACCAGCAAAGCATTGGATGGTACGAAAAGAATTGGAGAGGGTATATAGCATAACAAATTCATCACGACCGTCCTCAAACAAAAATTAATTTTCCAAAAAGAGATGGGAGTGCATTTTGACTTTTTAAATATCATTTGATCATTATGCCTGTCGCGCTCTTTTTTTCTTACCCCTCCTTTTTTTTTTTTTTTTTATTTTATTTTTTTTTTTTTTTTTTTGAAAAAATAAAAAAAAAAAACTATTTTAATTCTTTAATATTTTCTTCGGGTTTGGGGATGTTTTAACGAAAAACAAAAAAAAACGAATTCAAAAAAAAACAAAAAAAAAAAAAAAAAAAAAACAATTAATCAACGGACGAGTTCGGACATCTGTAATCTTTCGCTTTGAATTTTTTTCTTTTTATTCTTTGTAAATACGATATAGATTTTTTTTTCTTTTTTCTTTTTTTTTTTCACAATTATTGCGGAATACTTATTTTTTTCTTTTGGAACAAGTTCCAAACATCCAATTCAAACATAATCAATCAATTTCACATCATATTTAATGCTTTAAACACGAACACACATAATCTCAACACTTTTTTTTTTATGTATATATATGGAACATTACTTATCCTATATGTAATTATAATAATCCTTTTTTTTTGTAAGTAGTATTATGCCAACCAACAAATTTTTTTATGTATTGTATCTCATTCATACCAAAGTACAGTAGTAGTAGTAGTTACCCCTTTAATAATTCTTTAATAGAATTGTTTTAAAATGTTAATAACGATAACAAGAAACAAAATAATTAAAATAAAACTTAATAAAAACTGAAGAAAGATTTTAATCATATCTGATTTTAGTGCATCTCTTTTTTTTTGTGTTGCTTAAACATTCCATGCTATCGCTGTTTCACAATCTTTCTATTAGATGAATTTAGTTATATGAAGGGATCACTTAGGGTTTTACAAGGTCAGTCGGTTCAGTCATGATTTGCCTAATTTAATAAAAATTCTTGGCGAATTAAAGTGGATGCGTTTCAGAGTCGTGAAAAATTAAATGAGAATCAAAGCATGCCATCCTTAAATTGATTACATTCAAATAAACAAGCCCAAGTTTTTAAATACTGAAATCATTTTTGATCCTACTTTGGAAGAACTAAGCTTTAAATAGAGATGGTCTATCACAAACACGTCTTTTATTTACTTTGAAAGAAATTCTTTTTTCTTGGTATTTACTTTATATTTTTTTCAAATACTTTTATATTTTCAAATGAAAAGGAAAAAACATAAATAAGTTTCGTACTCTTTACGAAAATACGAAAAAAGGATGGATGCATGGGGAAAAAAGGAGGAGAGATTCCCCGTAAAAATTTCCCGTAATAAAAATCGTTTTTTTTTTTTTGATTATCAATCCAATAAGCTTTTAGCATGGTTCCTTTTTTTTTTCTGTTGATTATGAAAATGGAATGATTTTGAAATCGGAATTGTGTGAACATGGGCAAGCCATGTAAAGATCGCAAAAAGAACCCAACCTGTAAATAATATAATAAAATAAATATTGTTATTTGTGGAATCATTACAAAATATTTTTTTTTCGAATTCGGTTAGACGCAATTTTAATTTTATTATTATTATTATTATTATTATTATTATTGTTATTATTGATTATTTTTTTTTTTTTTTTTTTGTTCGCGTTCCTCTCGATCCTATGAGATTTTGTCTCCTATGAGAAATTTAATAAAGGCTTTTTTTTTCTTTTTATGGTTATTTGAGTTTATCCCAATTAAGAAAGTAACGTTATGAATTAATTTCAACAGGAAAGAAAACATCGTATGAGGTATCATCCCATGTGTAACCAATAATTTATCACATAATAAATCGGTGATAAATCATCCAAATTAGGTGAAAGAAACAAAAAAAAAAAAAAAAGAGATATGTTTATACAAAATTAATTAATGAATAAATCTTTTCATTTCAAAATGAATGAGAAAGATATCGTACAGCATCTTATTAAATATTTGTACATTCATTCAACGCTTTTCTGTCGGTAAATATCCCTAGAATTCTATTTTATTTTTTTTTCTCCTGAAAGATTTCAAAAATATGAAATGTTAATATAATGGCACTTTTTTATTTTATTTTATTTTATTTTGCGTTCTGTTTTATTAGGTGCATCATTGAGTTATTATTGCATTGTTGTTTCTCTTTTTGAAAGGGATCGTCACCCTTTATGATTGTTCATTATTGTGAATGGAATTTTTTTAATGCAGAAAGGCCACGCGAATTATCATTCGGATACAATCATCGTAATGATCATATTTAACGGTAATACCAATTGACAACGCGAACGTTGCGCAGTGATGAGACCTAGAATCGAGCCGTATGGGAGACAATGCATAAATAATATACATCAAAAGGATATAATTAATGTGATATAAACAGAAAAAAGATTTATTGTTGTTTAATTGTTGTTGTTGTTGTTGTTGTTGTTGTTGTTTGAATGTTGTTATTGCCGTCGTTGTGTGGGTCGAAATTCGGAAGGGAAACAATTGTCGTTTCAATGCCATATTGTCCTTTTTTTTACGTTAAAAATCTGTTACATGTTTACTGATTCTGACAAATAAAATAAAGAAAAAAAAAGTGTTCTTTTTAAAATTTGATGATCGAGTAGGCAATTACCATGTTTACCCTTTTTTTTTTTGATTCTGAAGTAATCCGATAATTAAGTAATTACATGTTTACTTATTTATTTATTTATTTATTTATTTATTTTTTTTTGATTCTAAAAAATATAAAAGAAAAATAAAAATAAAAGATGTTCTGTAAAACCCGATAATTGAGCAATTAATCAATCACTTTACGAACTTTGCTTTTTTTTTTTTTAAAAAAAAAAAGGGGGGTGCGAGCTTCGAAACAAAAAAAAAAAAAAGATGCCCAAATTTTTTAAAAAAAAAAAAAATAAATAAATCAAATTAAAAATAAAATAAAATAAAAAATATTTTTTTTTTATCTTAAACATTCATACTAATTTAAAGGGTATGCATCCATTTATTATTTGGCGGGAAAATAAAGGACCTTTTTTTTATACTTTTCTTTTTTTTTTTTTTTTCAACAAATATTTGTTATACAAAACATGCGGTACAATTCGACTTATATAATAAATTGTATTGTGAAAAATATTTTTCGGAATAAAAAATGTAATTAAAAAAAAAAAAAAGCGAAACAGGCCAAGAAAGAAGAAGGTACAAAAAAAAAAAGATGTTCTTTTTTATTTGGTTAAGAACTATTTTTATGAACATAACATACGACTTTCAATCATTCAAAGGGAGCGTAACATGCATGATCACATCTTATAGGTGTAGGATAACTGTTTACTTTTGGTGCGTAGCATTTCGCAGTAACACACGCCACATTCCTTTGTTTTTTTTTTATTCTAGAAATCCTCGTGAGACCAACAACAAATTTCCTTGGAATTTTTGCAAAAAGGAAATTTCAATTAGAGAGTATAATTAGCCGCAGCACAAGAATAAAGATCGCGGGAGATGTCCGAAGGTTGTGAGAATATTCTTGTTAACCGGCAGTTTTAAAAGTGTTTGATCGCCAATTGGATTAGTTCCAGAACGCATTCCTTCCACATTGGTGTGTTCCGCCTTTGGATAAACAACCGTTCAAATTATAAAACAGAATTGTACATCGCATAACATTTGCTATAATGGAGACATAAAGTAAAAATATGTAAATCGTGAGGCTTGGCCCAGACCACGCAAAGTTCCTTGTGTAAAATATAAAGTTTGTACCTTTTGGAACAAATATAAATAAAATAAAATAAAATAATAATAATAAGGCAAAAAAAAAAAATGAAATTGAAACAAAAAGATGGAATAATAGTAATAACAATTATAATAGTAATAATAATAATAAAAAAAAAAAAAAAAAGATTTGTTTTCCTGCCTTGTGGTTACATTACATTATAACCGAGAAAATATCGAGAAATAGCTTAGCTTATGCAAATGTTTTAGATGTTTGAGATAGGTTTTTTTTTAAATTATTAATTCGCATTAGAAAATTCCTTATTATTTATCATGAGTAATGATTACTCTTTTTCTTTTAGATATCACTTGATTTGAGATTTCCTAATGAAAATAACACTTCTTCGGAATATCTTCCTACATTTTAAGTTAAATCCCCCACTCGAGAATAATTTTTTTTTCTTTTTTCCATTTTTAGACAAAATAAACAACCTAAACTTGTGAGTTTTGATTCATCACATGTAAACAACACCTTTTACATGAAAAAAAAAAAAAAAATTGCCATTGTTTTAAAATTTTTCATTTAAATTAGGTTTTTCCCATTGATTCATGACTAAATTGAACGAAATTTAATTGGTTTAAATCCAAAAAAAAAAAAAATCACAAGTTCAAAAAGTACAATGTAAAAAAAAAAATGGTATTCCCAAAATAATAAATAAAAAATAATTTTTTGATCCGAAAAAAAGAATGTGAGAATTTTTTTGTTTCAGCCAAGCAATTTATAAAAATCGATTTAACTCTTTTTTAAACTTATCAGACCCATAGTATTTTTTCATCGAATTAAATGAAACAATACAAGCAAACGACCTTTATTATCATTCTGGATTATCACCGAATCTTTTTTAATTTTTTTTTTTTTAGTCTTTGGGTGGATAGTTTAAAATGATTAAATAGAGTATCATACAAAGTACTGCCAAGATCACAAACAACAACAAAAAAAAATAATAAATAAAGTGAGTCACAATACATTCATTCCTTTATTGATTTGTCTGATGAATTTTTTTCGAAAAGGTTACAGGACATCGAAATGTGACATCCTGATCCCATTTTAAAACCCAATAATAAAAATTGGATGGTGTGATTTATGGTTGTACTGTAGCAATGTTTTTTTTTATATTACCCCACGAGTTCGGATAAACGAAGCGGACTTGAGAATACCGGATCGTCTGATTGTATCCTTATTTTTTTTACAAAATAAAGGATTTTCCATTTCTGCGGAAACTGATTAATCATTTGCACAAGGATATTACTGTTTTTAGCGAACCTTACAAATCAAACTTATCATAATCACAA